TTAAATATTATATTTACATATTGTTTCTGTATACAACTGCCTTCTCAAATTTTAATACAAATTATTCTTTTTTCAACTTAATAGTAGCTAGTCTTTTTGAATTTTAAAGAGTACAAATTAATACTGTCCTAAAATTAAATACAGATAATAAATAATTTTATTAAATACAACCTATATCACATCACTTTAAGATTACTGTTCCACAGTGCGAGAAGCGATCGGTGCGTGAAGAAACCCAAAGATAATTAGACTATACTAACCCACTTGTGCTCATAATTGTAACATTAACAATGCTTATTAACTTTTCATTTTGGTTGATATTTAGAAACGTTACGATTGTAACACATACATATATACTTTTTTTTTAAACAAAACTTTTTTTAAAAAAAGGTTGTATATGTAATTTAAACTTTTTTTTATATAAAGAAGGTTATATGTCATTTTAAAAGATAATAAGCTGTTGGCAGAAACCAAGCTGATATCTAAAAAATGCTCTCTCGACCTTCGTCATTGCTAAATGCATTAAAAATATCCAATTAAAGCCTGTTAAAAATTAGCAACTGACATACGTTCAGTATGCAAGCTTTATTCAATATAGATTATAATTACAAAATTCTTCACACTAAATTGATAATGCCTTTAATTTTATAATTACTTTTCTTACTTTTTTCTTTACATACAATTTATCTTTTTACTAATTAGTCATCTTCTTTAAAAGTTTCTTTGAGTACAATTTTATGTAAAAAAAATCACTTATGTATATTTTACTGTTAACGACTTAGAAATATTAGATTCATTTATTTAAAAAAATGTTAACAGTGATCAAATGAGATGTTATATTGAAATAAAACAGTTAGAATATGAATATTTATAACATTTCATATTTCCATTCGCTAATAGAGTTAGTATAAACATAAAAACTTACAAGTTTCGTAATGTATTCATATATCATATTTAAAAATTCCACAATCAAGGACGATACGCCGCTTTCTCTCATTATAATATTCTATAGAGAAAGGTATTAGTTTTTTCCGAATTTATTAACGATTTGGAATTCATTATGAGATTTCATTGACCGGTAATTTATTACACATAAATAATTATCCATTTCAATCATAGTAGAACTAAAAATTATATTTAATTATTTTTTACATCTAAAGAATATATTTCAAAGCTTTCGGGCGGCAATGAAAACAGTAAAATTATTAAAAGAGTGCGATATTGAAGTGGCAAGTCATGTATTTCCTAAGTGAATGTTGTAAACACGTTAAAAGTTTCAATTCTACGTCCCACTATAGACACGGTCCCGCGTCCATAACTTATACATCGAACAAACTTTTGTCGTTTCTCTTATAAAATATCTAAGTGATAAACTATAATTAATTCCAAACAACATATCCATTATAAAAACATTAATTTTTAAACAATTATTTTATAACTCACCGTATATTAGTACACAAATTCCCGATACCACAATCACTTAATATGGAACGTAAAAATCGGGTCGCACGTGTGTTATATTGTGTGTGATAGCGCGACGTGTGGTCTTAAGGCGAACGGAAAGAGACTGGCGCGCCGCTTCGTCTGAACGCACCTGACCCCCCCTCCCTGACGAGGGAGGAATCGTATGTCAATTATTAAAATAAAGACGTTATTTATTGTAATATAAATAGATATATAATTATTGTTCCATTCTACGTAAATGTAACTTAACTTGATTGATTGTATGCGCAGTTTAACCTATAAGACGAATAATGATGGAAAACGCGAGTGAAGTTATGCAATAATATAAGATTATAATTATTATAGGATATTTGTAATAAAGATAATAAATATAGAGTATATCTAGTACATTAAGTATATTAAGTATATGATTAAAAGAATTAAAATGTGGTTTAAAAATATCTAAGAGGTTTGTATTTAGAACGTTATAACAATTATTTTAATTCGTTATTGTAATTATAAGCATAATTGGTATCGTTTTTTGTTTAATTAAATCCAATTTTCCAGTCTTTAATTCCCACAGAACCGTCGTTATATCAGCTTTCACTGTCTCTACTGAAATGTTTCGCATCATCGCGCCATTTTTTTCTATCATAACTGAAGAAAAGAAAGATGTTAATACTTATATTTTTCTAATAACCTACTTTTAAATTGAGTCTACATTCTATCTTATTGCTATCCCATTCACGGATTTACTACAGATTTTTTAACACTTTTTTCATTTGTCTCTATTAAAAATACGTTTTAATTAGATTCGTACAAATATTTCTGGCACAGAAATAAAATTTCCCGAAAAAAAAGAAAGCATAGAATCTGTAAGGAAATAAAACAACTGCAAATTGAGTAGTTCAAAAAGGTTAAACAACATTTTCTTTTGTAAGATACTTAAATAAAAAAATACATTCATTGTTATATAGACTACATAAGAGCTAACATAACATAAGAAATTCTTCACTTTTCTAAGGAATCTTATTTATAAAATGTATTTTCATGACAAAAAATATAATTGAATATTGGAATGCAAGTCAAATATGCAAAAGGATGATTTCACTTGCGACTCTTGAATGAATACCGCTGTCTTTGATCTGTACAGCTTATAAAACATGAAATAGTAACAGTCCAAAAACATTTCTACTATATTGTGTTAGAGCACAAAATAAAATGTTTCGTTTTACTACTGATAAAAAAACTAGGCTGCTGTAGAAAACACGAATTGCAATGTTTGACTTCCCATTGAAGGCTCACACGTAATTCATGTGGAATAAGTGAATTAATTGTTTGTGGGAATCAACATTTTATGATAGCATTGTGCTTTTTGGGCTTTATCAAAAGTTTCCTTCATTATCTATTTTTACTTTACTTCCTTTATAACGTGTCGTTCAGACTTATCTTTATAGACTGAAATTATATTCGCAATTTTATTACTAATGCAATAGGTATGGCTGTTTTCCAGTCGTAATAAGTATATATATATATATATACATATATATATAAGTATAATTAAAACTTAATAGGTATAACTCATTATAGGACGTCAGGTTCAAACCTCGACTTTATTTAAGTTGAATCGCCACTGGCCACAAATTAACAAGTAAACCAAAGGTTCATACGCAAAAATCTTATAAAATTCTTGCATTATCTACTCGTTTACTGTCGAAAATCCAACATAAATAAAAGCACCTCAAGCCAACATAAGTATCGATTATAAAATTAATATCGATCGAATATCCTTCGGAGAAAGTAAGAAACTCAAAAACATTAATTATAATTGGACGTTATCTTTTATATCCAAATATAATCTTCGCATTAAAGATCTACAGAGTAGACCGCAGGTTCCGATTACGACAGGTCAGAGACTGTATTAATCAAACTTTGAAATTCTTAAGGGTCAGGAAGTATTCAGTTACAATTAAGGCTACTTGAAAAGATATTTCGATTGAGCTATCGAAATTATCGAAGTAAAAGATAAATGATAAAGATATCTTTGAACGACAAAACCACGTGGGAAAAGTTTTTTTTTTTCATATTGTTCTAGCTGGCTGCACAATGTTATACTTAGACATTATGTAGGGACATAACTTTGGCCTATTGCGGTCGCAACCTATTTTAGTTTTATATTTTAATTTCAAAAAAAAATCTCAGTCTTTATATTAAAAGCATACTCATAACTTAATAAAATTACACCATTTTTCTAAACCTTACGTAATAAAAGGGCCATAGAAAGTTTAATAAATAACTCACCTCCTTCATTCTTTGTCTATAAAAGACAATTGTTATCGATCAGTGATAATTTTAAGCGTTTGACTAACTGTAAACTAAAAATATTAAAGAAAGACAATAACAAAACACTTTGTAACGGGGAATTTCAATCTTCGGCTCGCCCGCAGCAAAATATCAATATACATGCCCTGCTACGTCGAGGATGAGAATTAAAAGGCTATCACAAACGAGACTATAAAACTTTAAGTAACTACAATGATATAAAACTGTAAAAGTATTTTGAATGCCTACTTAAAACATATTATATATTCCATATGTGATATAACAAACGTCAATATTAGATTACTTCATCGTATGAAAAGAATAACACAGACAATAAAAAATCTGTCAACTTTTGAAATAAAAAACTATAAATAAGAGTTTTTTCTTTATATCTATATTCATTGTGCTTAGTTAATCATTTTGTCTCACGGTGTATAAGATGCTTAAGAGATACAGTCAACAGGCTCCGTTGCAAAGGTCGGGGTCGCGGTCCTCATGAATGAGAGCCATTCTATATGATTTACCAGTTAGGGATATAAAATACACTGTTCTTATGAACTTGTATCACACGATAATAAACCTTATATCAAAGGCTTAAGTACGCTTATGTCGTGATGTTTAAAATCTAGCGTTTCCGTATTACTTTTGATAATCTTTTTTTTTTATTTTTATTTTCGTACATGAAGTTTGCTTTTTATGGTGTATAAGTATTGAATCGTGATAATTCAATATTCTTTTACACTTTCATTCAGTATTATTTAAATGAATCGTCATATTAATTTTGAATTTATTAAAAGAGAGAGGTTTACTTGAGAAACATGTCGTAATGATAATTTCTTCAAAAATGAGATCAGAAAATAGTAACATTAGATTAATATTGTTTGATATAAGAAACACAAGGAAACAAACATGTCACTAAAAGTAAAATATTTTTTTATAATCTATTTGAAATGAACTATAATAGCAACAGTTACGAAAATTTTAATATTAGTCTTAGCGTAAATCCATGCAAAATTTATATAGGTACCTCTTTCAGGACATCTGAAGTAAATTTTAGAAAATGTCAATTCCAATTCCAAACATAAAAATACAAAAAAAATGTTTTTAGCAATATACATTTCGACATACACTTTTTAGTCTATACCAGAAAATAAAGTATTAAATGAAACCCTTGTTAGTTTTTTTATTTATATAATTTGTATCACTTAAACATTATAAAAAAATATACACAAAGTCTATGAATTCTCCGTTTCTTTGTATCTGAAAAAAAAATTGTAAATATAAGTAATTGTATTCTATATTTTTAAATAATAAGTGAATTGGGATTGCTATAACAAATAACTATACCAATAAATTATTTCATTTAAAAATTTTCATAATAATGTTACTAATGACTTTTCTTTGTACATATTAATTATTTTTATAGGTTTTAAATGCATTCTGATATACTTAAAATAATTATATCAAGTTTTTGAGCTATTACATCTCAGAAATACTCACTTGCAAGATATACAGGTGTAAAACACAGTTTGCCCTTCATCGGCAGATCTCAACTGTAGCGTTGCATAGGACATTCTATCATTACCACATTTCGGACACTTTCGTTCAACAACAGGCCCCTCTGGGTTGTCCATATGTAGAATTTTATCATTACTCAATGCAGAAACTGTGTTAAAATGTATTGTGTAATTGAACTTAATATTGCTGTAACCTGTAATATAACATCAGTGTTATATACTAAATATATTAACTATCATGAGCATATATATAATATTTTTTAGTGAACAATAATGTTTAACAAGTCCAGTGGAACAATTTTACTATTTATAATTAGTTAGAAAAAGAAATCTTTGATATAAGCTAATCTGACTTAAACTTATTAGTTTAGAGAATATTTGACGCCAGTTGTCAAGTAAACTAACTAAATTTTAACTTACTGTCTGGATCATAGGAAGCTTTGCAAGCATAGCATTTAACAGAGCCAAACTCTTGTAATAAAGGCAATATTGAACCACATTTTGCACAAAAAGCTGTACTTGTTGTAAATGGACCGGTTTCGGCCATCTCAAATTTATAAAATTTAATAAAAAAATTAAATGCAGATAGATTTACTTCTATCAGCAGAACAAGGTTATGTTTTGACAGGTTATAAATTAACCAAACTTTGTTTAATTCTTTAAAGAACAATAAACATTAAGTTTTTTTTTAAGGAAAGAGATACTTTAAGAAATAAATAATATTAAATGATAATAAACTCAATTCCTTAACTATTGAATAAATTTACAAAAATAAACGTCAGTTTCTCTTGGCTGTTAGTTTTGACAGTTCCAAATGTAGGCTTCGGTCAGAAAATTAGCAAGAAATTGTGTTTTAATTATAACTTTATAATTGGGAAAAATTAATAAGAAAATAAAATATACAAAATATTTTCCGTTTAAGATTATATTATAAAGTGGTAAATATAGAAAAGTATAATAATAAAATGGTAGACCTATGTTATTAATACATGGTTAGACGTAGAATACGTTATTTATTTAAATCCCTAACAAGTTCACAGAAATGTAGGACAACCGTAACTAAAATCTTATTGTCATTCGGCTCTGACTGAGTTTAGCCAAGTCAATCTCTACCAAGTATCTTTTATTAAAATAATATTCTGTAAGTGGTAATACGTAACTTGCAAATTATAGATAAAGAAAAAAATTAACGTGGTAAAGTTAAAAAAATATTCTTTGCCTCGGGACTTTCAACAGGAGATATATAAACTTGAACTAGAAATTTATTTATTTACAACAAGCACACTTACAACATACATATTGAATATTTACAGTTAAAGTGACTATATTATAACATCAGATATGTACGTCAATGACAAGTGTACATAACATTTACTAACTATAAACAGTGCAAGATTAAAAAGTTTACATACTAATTTAAAGATAAAATAAAAATATTACGTAACAATAACAGAATAAAATAAAAAAATATTACTATATAAACTTAGGAAAACTTCAACTTAGAAAAAAAAATAGTCAATAATTTCTTGTTTATTGAACCACATTTTGCACAAAAAGCTGTATTTGTTGTAAATGGACCGGTTTCAGCCATGTCAAATTTATAAAATTTAATTAAAAAAATTAAATGCACTTAGATTTACATACTTCTATCAGCAGAACTAGGTTATGTTTTGACAGGTTATAAATTAACAAAACTTTTCTTTAATTCTTTAAAGACCAATAAACATTAAGATTTTTTTAGGAAAGAGATACTTTAAGAAATAAACAATATTAAATAATAATAAACTCAATTCCTTAGCTATTGAATAATTTTACAAAAATAAATGTCAATTTCTCTAGGCTGTTATTTTTAAATATAGGCAGTAGACTTTCGTTCAGAAAATTATCAAGAAATTTATTTAATACATGAAGGAAAGGGTAAATTAATAAATGTTTATAATAAGCAAAAATAAAGAATTATATCTATATATATAAAAGAAAGTCGTGTTAGTTACTTCACTTATAACTCAAGAACGGCTGAACCGATTTAGCTGAAAATTGGCAGGGAGGTAGTTTAGAGCCAGGAAATTGCAATAGAATACTTTTTATCCCGTTGACAGCATTCCCGTGGGACTTGACATGAAACGTCAGTCACTATAAAACCTGGAATAACGAACACAATTGACAGCTATGCAATTGACGTATAATGACAGATATGTAAAGACGTAATGATGACAATTAGATATTTGTAAGAGATCTACTACATATATAAAAATAAGTCCGGTTTTCAATCCTGACGCTATAACTTCAGAACGAACGAACCAATTTCTACGGTTTTGCATTCGTTGTAAAACATGTACTACAAATCAATATTTTCAGTAGATGGCTCCGGTGCATGATACATTGTTTGACAGCTACTCATTGTTCTCTGCTCAGTTAATTTCATGTGACAAACCAACTCACAAACAAACTCTTAAAAACATTTAGTATTTGCGGGATTTTAGAAAATCATTGTTTTTCACATGGGCGTTATATTTTGCGTGTTCACGAGTATGGAACCATATTTGTGTTAAAGTTAGACCAAAAAATAAAAAATGTGGTTTACAAAGGACCACTTCAATGGAACGGATAATAATTTGCAGACACTTATAACGCTTCGATTCGGTATCTACTTTGGATTCACTTTCATTTACTTAGAGAAGTTCAACTAAATAACACTTCATTTTTTTAATCGAAATGAATTCATTACTGTTGTGAAATCAAATAAAAATTTTCCTTTCCAAATTTAAAACAAAAAAAAATTCTTCATCTTTTAATCCCCAAACAAAATGTTATATAAAAGCCTTTTGGTGGCGAAACGGAGTTCGCCGGGTTTACTAGTCTACTAATAAAAATAAGTCGGGATTTCCTTCCTGACGCTATAACTCCAGAACACACGAACTGATTTTCATGGTTTTACATTCGTTGGAAAGGTCTCGGATTCCGTCAAGTTTATAGCAAAGAAAATTGAGGAAAAATTTAACAGAAAAGCAGGAAAATCTTTACGATATACAACGCCATCTCTGATACATAGAATGTACTATACAAACCTATATTTTAAGTAGATAGCGCCGGTGCGTGATACATTGTTAATTTCATGTGACAAACCAGTATTGTATTCACTGTCAAGTTTTGAAAAAAAAAAAAGAAATAAATTATCCGTTTCCTAACATTTTATTTGAAAAACGTCAAATCAATTACGTGTATTGTGCAGATTTTTATTCAATTTCAACAGAAGGAATTTGTCTTTAAGGTGGTAAGTTGAACTGTTTATATTATGTGGATTGTGCATTTGAGATTAAATTCACCACTCTGTCCATAGTACAAAATGCCTAGAGGACGACGTGTGAACATCGGCCGCCGCACAAGACATGCAAGGCAGCAACAAGTTTATTCACAGAACTTAAGCGAAGAAAGACAAAATACAAAAAGAGAAAATGCCCAATTGAGACAACGCGTGCGTACACGAAGATCATTGGCATCATACAATCGCTTGGCATTCCAATATGATCCCACTATGAACTACAGCGATGATTAAAATTTAGATATTGGACCATTGACGACTATATGCCGATATTGCAATGCGTTTAAATTCATAAGAGAAACGGCTGGATTGTGCTGCGCAAGTGGAAAAGTCAATCTGAATCCATTACTTACACCACCACAGCCACTGAAACTATTGTTCAATGGAAGTGATCCCGATTCCAGCCATTTTCTTCAACACATGCTTAAATACAATAACTGCTTTTGCATGACTTCCTTTGGAGCTAATAGCTATATTAACTTTAGTAATTATAGGAAATGTATAAGAATAAAATGATAGACCTATGTTAATACAGGGTTAGACACATGATTTATTTAAATCCCTAATAAGTTCACAGAAATATAGGGCAACCGTGTCTAAAAACTTATTATAGCCCATTCTGACTGAACTTAACCGAGTCGAACTCTACCAAGTATCTTTTACTAAAGTAATATTCTGTAAGTGGTAATACGTACCTAAATGCACCAAAAAAAGGAAGGAGGTAAAATTCTAAAAATTTGTTTGCCTCGGGGTCTTTCAACAGAAGTAATTTAAACTTGAACTAGAAATTAAGTTAGTATAGAAATTTTGTAACTTATAAATAGTTTAGCTAATTTCTTAAATTTTAAATACATAAAATTGATTATCTGTTTATAAATAAATTGAAAATTACTCGAAACCCATTTTCCGCATACATGATTTAATACCAATGAAAAGGGAGATGGAAACCAAACTTAATGGGGTTCCGCGTTAGGTTACGAAGCAGTATACATTCCCATAAGCAGTTATCATTTATCACTTCAGAAATTTCGTTTTAAAACCTTTATGAAATACATATAATAATTCAGAAAACAAAAGTCGTACTAGCCCTGAATGGATTTTAAAATATCCTTTGTGTTCACATCTAAATTTTGATTACATTATGAATATAAAATAATAAGGTATATGACCCCATTTGAAAAAATGTATTAGAAATATAATAAACACATTATTGTGGTAAACCGTAAAATATCATTTATAATTTCAAACTTGTCATTTGACATTTCTTTCAAACTTTCAAACATGTCAGAATCATGTCAAGATAATATACTTTACACAAAATTTGTTTAAATCATAAAAGTATTTATCTACTTTATTCAATTGTTTGAAATATCATTAAACTTAAATTTTTACTTCTATATTAAATTTTTGGAATTAACTTAGTGATGTATCCAAATCCGTTTTCAGATTTGTTTATCAGAAATTTTGCAATGGCAACTGGCTGTGTTTGTGTTTTGAGATTTCTGATTTCTGAAACATATTGTTATTGACTATTGAGCATTTATTAATTGATTCCGTCATATGTGCGATTATTTTTTAAATAATTTAAATATATTCTGATTGACTAATCCACTCTTAAATGTACGTTGCGCTGCACATTAAGTCAAACCTTAATTTATGCTGGGATATCAAAAAACATTCAATATCAATGTTAATAGTTACGTTCGTGGGGTAGTTTTATTTTAGCTTCTTATTTTTTTAGATGGAAGATTTATCGCAGTCTACTGATTTGCAATATCAACAAACTGATCCGGGCATTCCGATACATCAACCTATGGATACGGATGCGGAAAAGATTCCAAATACAAATATACAGCCGACTGAAAATGCCGGCCCTCAAAGTGGTAAACATGAAGAGTTTTCCGTGGAGAAAGTTCTGGATAGAAGGATTAAGAATGGAAAAGTGGAATATTTACTGAAATGGAAGGGTTACTCTGAGTTAGTATTATTTAGGTTTTTAGTAACATATCCTCACTCATTGGTAAATTGTTATTAAAAAATATGTTATAGAAAACACAGTCAGTGGTGTCCTAGTGGTTATAGGGACTGCCTCTCGTTGCCGAGGGTTCGGGTTCGGGCCGAGGGCTCGGGCCGGGTTCGATCCTTGCCCACGAAAGTACCAATGTTACTGTTTCCAAGTAATATGTACTTTCTAAGACTATTTAGACACCACTGACATACGGTGGAGGAAAATATCGTGAGGAAACCTGGACTTATAATTTCACAATTATATGTTTGAAATCACCAACCCGTTTTGAGCAAACATTGTGATTAATGCTCAAACCTTCTACATGAAAGAATGGCCTTTGCTCAGCAGTGGGCTCTGATAGGCTAAATCAAGTATCAATCATCAAACACAAATTATACTTTATTTCCTAAGATTAATAATGATGATATAATATTGGATTTTAGTGAAGACAATACATGGGAACCAGAAGATAATCTGGATTGTCCTGACCTGATATCTGCATATGAAGAAGCTCGTTTGAAACGGGAGCGTGAAGCAGCTACTATTCCTGACTTGGAAGAAGGTCACTTGACTCGCAAAAGGGCTAAGAGGGGAGATAAGAAAAAGAAGGTGGAGGTAAGTACAAGTAAAATACAGAATCTAAGTTATGAGGTATAATGGGATTTAAGATTTTTGAAAGTATTCATTAAATTAAAATATCTAAATTATTCAATACACATCAAATGTATTTATATAGATATATTTAGATATCACATTTAGATAGAGCACATTTATATTTGAAGATTGAAACTGTTATGTATTAGTTATGCTTGCTCGGAATTGTTAAAATAATATGATGTCAAGTGTAATGTAGTTTGCTAGTTAGCACAATACATACATGTCAAATTTAATACAGTTTTATTGAATATTACTAACACAATATAATAAAGGTGACTGAAGGTTTTTGTAGTTGAAATTTTGTTAGAAATCCTGGTTTCTTTGATAGTGAAATTATTTAAATTGACAATATAGTACACAGTACAACTTAATAAGGAGTATATTGAAAATGATGATAGAAATATTATAAAAATTGTATTCTTTTTTTTGGATAAATTATGTAAAATATAAATATGTAAATCCAATTCCAGGAAGTTGAGAAACCCAGAGGTTTAGCCAGAGGTTTGCAGCCGGAAAAGATTTTAGCCGGTCAACTCTTTCACGGCACACTTTACTTTTTAGTTAAATGGTTTGTATCATAAAACAGATAAATTAATTTTAACTTCGATCTTATATTAAGTGACTTATGATTTTCAGGCAGGAGTGTCCAGAAATGGATGTAGTTCCCGGACATGATCTTGGTCAGGCATTTCCAGACTTCGTTATCAATTACTATGAACAGTGTGCACCATTTAGTGTCAGACATCCCGTTGGGAGAATACCGAGACCTGCACCTGAGGTAATTGTTTTAAATATGATAATTTTTTTATATATTATTCACTTGTGATTAAGCACAGTATGGGTAAAGATAAAGCTTGAGGGAGGAATGTTAATTTAATTTATTTTTCAAACATTCCTTCTTATATCAAATTTTTTACCTCTATTTTGAAAATTATAGTATTGATTAACAAACTATTAGAATTTCAATAATAATATGTCTTAGGTAAACAAGATAAAAGTAAGGAATTCAGTAAAGAAGACTAATGTTTCAGCATATTTTGCATATTATCTTTAGTAATAAGAATAAAATATTAGCAATCAATTAATGTTTCTTTACAATTAAGACAAATTTTACTGCTGAGCTGAATTTGGTTATTTAGATATGCAAAAAAATTTTGCTTCAATATATCATTTTATTTAACATATATAAGTTTATTCATCTTTACTGACCCATATTACTCATAATAATGATATTCACGGTTAACAATATCACTGTAATTAGCAAAATTGTTATATATTAGTTATGCTTGCTCAGTATTGTTAAAATAATAATATGATGTCAAGTTATTAAGGAAAGCTTGTGTGCAAAAGGTTATTATACAATTAATGAGTTTATGATCGATAGTACACCTTGGGAATGAAACGATCGCCTCCTGGCTATTTCATCTCATATTAAATTGTTTATATAATATATGAGACAAATATATATTTAAAAAAAAACCGCTGAGTTTCTTTCGCCGGTTCTTCTCAGGTCAGGGTATTTTCTTTTCTGAACCGGTGGTAGTGTCTCAAGTGACCAACAATAAGAAAGTGTAATGCTTCTATATTGAGTAAGTTATTTGAGTTTGAGTTTGTAATGTAGGTAGGTTGCTTTATAGTACTAGTTACTGTCATTCCGTTTTGCTACTTAGCACAATACATACATGACAAAGTTAATATGGTTTTATTTAATACTACAAAAATAAATGTAACTTCCAGTTGCCGCCATTAGAACAACCACAACCAGTTCCTGAGACTCCAATGGATGTGAGTCAAGATGCAAGTCTTCCCAGCACTTCATTAGCTTCAACCGAAACAGGTTATGTATATATATATATATATTTAATTTATATAATCTATATATGTTTGTATTATATGCAAATTTAATTATATCTATATGCAATGATAAGTAATCACATAATGGCAAATTTTCAGTGTTATATAATATTTTTAAAATAATTAATCAATCTTTAAAAAAATTGTAACTGTTAAAGTTAAATTATTTGTCTTTTATGTCATTATTGATTTTGTTTTACCTCCACAATTTTAAGTATACATTCTTAATAAAATAAAAGTAATTCTTTATCAACATTTTTAATATACTATTAAGATTTACCAAAAATCTTGCTCATAATATATACAGCTCAAAAAGGCAACTCCTAAAAAACAAGCTTATTTCATCTTAATAATATATTATGGATGTATGGAAATCTAATAATGTAGTAATTTCATTTCAGATGTTCCGGTTGAGCTGCCGGAAACTCAAACTCAGCCACCAATCCCCGAAACAGACACACAGCCTATTGAAGTACCAGTTAATTGATTCACATAACACATTGTTCAAGAATAACTGTTGTTGACTAAAAAATGTTGAATATTTGTATGTAAATAAAATTTAAATTAGAATATAATTAAATCTTATATAAAAACATTTTTATGTATTAACTATTATGACTAAGAATATGCTGTGGTATACATATTATCTAATTCTTTATATGGATAGTATATAATATGACACAATATTACTTTAATATGTGATTTAAATGAAAGATTTCGTAATTTTTTCCTAATATGTTTATTGAGTTCTGGATATATTGTGTAATTGTCATAGTTAGGAATGATTTTGTATTGTATAATTCTTTTACATTCATAGTACATAGCTATTAAAGCATTTATTGATTATGATTTTTATATGAACACAAGACTAGTTATTTTGATATTGATAATCCATGTATTGATGAAAATGAGATTTCAATCAATATCTTATGTCTATATAGATGGAATCTTCAATACAAATGATATGTCCAAAATACTATTATTTGCATTGTGTTGGAATAAAAGTTTTAATGACTAAATGAATTTATAATAAATAAAAAAAATCTATGATTTCTCTTTTATTGTAATTGTTTTTGTTATAAAAAAATTATCAGTTTTATTTTTTCTTGAAAGTACACTATTTTATTACACTTTTGACTAAATTTTAATGTTATATTATACCCTTCTACAACTAGTATTGACTATTTAATCACAGTAATCTCATTAAGTAACATTAATAATTTTGCAGTTTTTATGACCCCATCCTTAGTTTTTGCCAGAGTTCATTTCTTTTTGTCTGGAAAATAAAAATGTTGCAATTTTTTAACAAGCGGGTTCCATTCTCACTGGAGATTTAGAAAAATTTATAGACGTATTTGATTAGTGGAATTGAATATAATAAATAATAAGTATAATACCACATTATGTACTTATTGAAGAGAATTTTTTTTTTGTACTACTTGTATATCCCATTTCCACTAAAAGTAGGATGGGTTAAGGTACTGAATTAAATGAGTGTATGTATCAAGAGAAACATATAAAGCAAGATTGTTAGTATGTACTTATATTCTAGATAGAATAGATAGATAGATATTTGTCTTATTGTTAGCTATATTTGAAGGTCAAAGCTAAGTCAAGAAATTTTATTAACTATGCTCTTGACGATCCAAGTTTTTTGATAGAAATAATTGTTCCCAAGTATATATATAGTAATCGGGTTAATGAGTTTTTCAATTTGTATCCATTAGGTTATTTAAATAACACCGAAAAGTGAAAAAATATGTTTCACTTGAATTTAAAAGTAAATTCAATTAAAACACGATAAAGGAAGAGGAAGTAAAATAACTAGAATATAAAAACAATTAATTTAAAATTTAAACTCGACCGCATAAAGTGCCAATTTAAAAGATAGAATTAAAAGACGGAAGCAAGAATAATACTGCTATGCCCTTTTTGGGGAAACTGTTGCTGTTGTTATGATATAAAATAAATCAATTTAATATAAGAAAAAATATGAAATCGGTTTGTGAAACAATAAGACTTATACTTCAAGTTACTTTAAAATTCCAAAAAAATCACATTTTACTAATATTGCAACATATGAAGATGGAATTTAAGTTGAAGAAGAAGACGCATATAAAGCATTTTAATTACATAAAATATTAAAGGAATACTTTAAATTATTTAAAATAAATTTTATACACACGACGATGACTTCAACGCTCAGATCCCTACTAATATTATAAATGCGAAAGTAACTCTGTCTGTCTGTCTGTCTGTCTGTCTGCTACGCTTTCACGCCTAAACCACTGAACTGATTTTAATGAAATTCGGTACAGAGATAGAGTTGACCTTGAGAAAGAACATAGGATAGTTTTTATCCCAGACTTTTGAAAGGTTCTCTTGGAAACGCGATATAACCGAACTCCATGCGGCGAAGCTGCGGGCGGAAAGCTAGTATGTAATACGTCTTTGCGAAAAGATTCTTCCTTCGATGTAATTAAATGTCAAATATAGTGACATTTCTATTCTACTATGTACTGAACATAAAATAACAATTAATTATTTATGGTCGAGTCAACCATTCAGGCGATAGTTCTTTCATATGACTACACAAGTTTACAGTTTAGATATTAATTAATTGTTTAGGAGGATAAATAAAATAGTTTTATTATTCTGTATAGTTTTTTATTACGCTTATATTATTTTCCCTGTAAATTAGTAATAATAAAACTAATATTAAAGTATAAATGCTTTGGTATTATCACGAAATTCGCAATGGAACTTCGATAAAGGTGAGTATTCGGAGTTTCGATTTTTATAGCTTGTTGAGGAATGGGGAAATGGAAGCGAAGTCTTCACATTCAGGTATGAGTTTCCCCCTGTATTTATAGCAGGATTCCCCGCAAAGTTGTCCATTAAACCACGTTCCAAGCATCTTTCTGCACAGAGCGCAGTTTTCCATACATATTTCGAGAGGTTCATAACTTGTAGCTGGAAGAAATATATTAATGTAGGTACTACTGCTTGAAAATATAGTACATACCCTAGATTAAATTAAGAAACAAAATTGTATGTTATAAACTTTGTATTTTTGTGTATTTTTTGATATAATTTATTTTTAGGATTTTGTACCTCAATAGGAAAATTGGAATCCTTTTAGGAAGACCTTTGTTTGAGTTTGCCTTTTTTTTCAGGACCGTTGATAAGCTACCTTACCGGCTAATCTAAAGATAATGCCTCCTATTAAATGCTTTTATAAAACATTTTAGCATCACAAAATTTAAATTCTTTAGAACTTTATATTCCTGTTCACATTTATACTGTGAGTTAACTTATCATGTCTGTCAATTTGTGGGAACTATAAGTAGGTAGGTAGGTAAAACGTTCGTAGATTTCTTTATTTAGTTAACAATTATATTAAACTGCTACCTTTTAATCTGGAAATCAGGCTTTTATCTTAAATTTAACCATAATTTTAACGTTTTGTTGTTAAGGATTTCCGAAATCCACTTGCACAAATTACCTAATCTTCTTGCAAATTATTGCTTCACATGTTTTTCTCGTAAAACTTCGCTCATTGAAGCTCAGTTGAGGTCAAGTGTAAGTTGATGAGGCGAAATTGCATAACAACGAAAGTAATCCGGCGAATCACGAATTGGGGTCATTGTCTGTGGCGTTTTCGCATTGATTGTTCACAATCTAATCGCTATTGCAATTATAGATGGTTATATTATCTAAATTATGGCTTCTGTATAAGATAAGTATAATTAAAATCTTTTATTTACGTTCAGAATTTGATATTATATCAATACTGTTACTGTAAAAATTACGTGTTTTTTTTCAGTATGTGTAGAATGTTTATTTATGATATATAAAAACAAAATAAGAAATGAAATAACTGCAAATATCAAAGAATTTCTTTAATTTCTATTGGATCCCAAATTCTAGGTAAAAAATCCGTAAACCGGAATCGGTTCAGACAGATATTAAATATTTACTGACAGTAAGAAAGATATTGGGGTTAAAATATTTTTACTATTTTTTCTATTAATTCCAAATAAATATTGAACTGAGCTACATCAATTATAAGTTTTGAAATTTAAAAAATCGTTGTAATTAAGTAGTTAATTGTTTGATAAAATTCATTTAGAAAAGAGATCATCGACATTCGCAATTGCGTCATATATGTAAGTGTATATAAAACCTTCATATAAAACTATAGATGCAATAGGATAAAGACCGGTTATTGTCCTCTGACAGGAAAAGATTTTCTTAATGTAATCGAATAATGAGGCGAATTAATTCTTAGAACATGCTAGTAGTTAATGTAGATATGCGTTCAGGAATGTCAATAAAATTATTAGTATCCTATATTCTCTTATAAGTATTAATTTTTAAGATAAATTATTGTATTATTGCACATTATATTAAACTATTGTGAAAGCTGACATTTAGATGGTTATCATTCAAATTTGTTAGTGGGTACTTTATATGTATTACGCCGTTATAAAATTTATTCAAACTAATATTTATAGTATTTGTATATTTTACATCAAAAACAAAGCAATGCAAAATAATATAAATTTTTATTTTATATTAATTATCTAAAAGTATACGAAGCATAAAAAAGACTAATGTTCCCTATAACTAAAATAAAATTATGTATACTGCATTACTTCAATATTTAAACTTAAAGATTTAAGATGTATTTAAACAGTAAGTTTTAACATGAGAATAAATCGTTCACATCTCTATACTATTACAATAACATTATCTACATTTTTAATAAGTCGGTAAAACAACAATTTAACCCCAGGTCGTCGGTTCGTTAAATAGAGCACACGGATTATTTGGTTTCAAAAGTTGCTAAAGCAGACGTATGTCGATACGGTTTGGGACAAATTACAAATGCCAGACTTTAGTTTTTAGTTTCAGTTGTGACTTTAGTCTGTGATGTATTGAACATTGAAAACAGATACTTAGTTTAACCTTTCTTCAATATTTTATTATTTGTATAATAGTTTTAGTGTAATTAATATTAAATAAAAACCTTACCAATTGCTGGATTTGTGTCAACAGGAATTAGACAATACTGGAGAATGCCTATGGCAAGAAGATAGTATGCGAGTTTTCCAACCATTTTGAAGTTATCTGAAACAAAACAACGTTACTATGCGTTCCAAAAAAAATTTTAGACAAATATTGTTATTTGTCGGTCTTATAATTACCATAATTATCATAATAGATGTGGTACTAAAGAGTCGTTCTGATTGAAATACACTATATCAATTTGTGCAAATGCCGCATGGAGTTATAATTATATACATAAAATAAAAACATGTCCACAATTAGGAAGTCCAAACGTCACTGCGACCGTAGAACGAAATCCTCACACAAACAACGTGGTCACAATACTAAGGAAGCTAGCAAACTTCGCGAAACCACGACGCGACATACACTTCCTATTTTACAGCCTTATTACTTCCTTCATACCTAAATGAAACAACTACGCAAATAAAAACAGTCCGACTGCACATTACCTGCTCACGGTAGACTCACCACTTTAAAAAACATGTGCTCGAATATTTTAGGTCTAATAAATGGGGGTGTTGCGTAAGACCCAAAATTGGTAAATTAATTTCTTTATAATTGTTTCAGAAAATTCGTCTATCCGCGACCGTTCGTAAATGAGTCGTGCTTAAATATGATGCGAGTTTACTATGTCCGCATGGTAGCTGCTGGGTGGGGCGTTGTACTTATCAAAACTGAACAAGAATCACCCCAGGAAGTGGTGAGAAAACATTTACATTTTATAAGGGTATATGGCCTGGAAAATATGGATGCAAACGAAAGTATTAAAGTTATTTAGGGATAACTGTTATCTTACATAATGTACACATTCCATCTTACATCATGACGTGCTTGGAGTGCGTTAGCATAAAACCAGTTTTTTTTGCATTATTATAAACAGTTACATAGCCTGACATGATTTGAATTCCCCAATATATTATTTTATATTTTCGAATTATATATACATTATATTATGCACTAACTTATATAGCTGATAAAGTTCTCATACGTATAACAGTCAAATTTTAAATTTGAATAATGTATTTTGTATTGGCGCTGACCAAACTTTAAAAATATCCCGAGGCAATCCAGTATTGATGATACTCTGGGGTCTACATTAAAACTTTGATACAAATATATATCGCAAAATATATTGCAAACACATTTTAAATTATATAGATAATGATAAAAATTTACATAAAGTATTACAACACCGTCACAAACGAGTTGTTAAGGAAGGATTCTTTAATTAAATCTATTACATTTCGATAATAACAGACTTGACGGAAAAATCAGCCGGAGTTTAGGACAAAGGCGATCTTTACTTCCGCGCTAGCGGACAAAAAAGTCAAATGTAAATAACCTGTAGATATGAGCAGGTACCACGTGATTGAATATCGTGAATTATTCCGATAGTTGAGTCACATGGCTGGCATACTTCGTACTTCTCCAAGGCAGTACAGGTTTTGTAACGCAATGGTCCCTTCATATTTATAACCTTTTATCGTGCAGTACAATATTTAGGAAACTTTGCCTTATCATTTTAAATCACACTAATTGTGAACACACTTCCTAATGTTATATTCGTAATCCTGCCGGAAAAGAATATTTGATGTGATTGATTCTTTTTTTTTTTGTTAATTTTTAAACATTTCCGCATATGAAATCATTCGATCGAAATAACTTCCAAAGAGTGGAATTAACAGTAATTTCGACTTGTAATAAGTTAATTTTATCACCGTATTGATGTGATCATTATTACTCCAAATAAAGACAGTAGACCATATACTTAAGTTGTGGCCCTCGATACGAAATTGGATTTTATTATATTTTTCCTGCACAGGTAAATAAACCCATTAAAAATTGCTATCATATAAACTTTTCCACTTTATACATTCGGATTTGATAGATTAAATATTATATAATATTACATAAGATTCAATATAACTATTGCCAAATCAAAGAGGAAGTAATTGAAATGTAATTAATTAAATATAGTTTCTAATTAATTATCAAAGTTGTTCTGTTACTTAGATTATTGGTCAACCTCTTACTTCGATGCAACTTCTCTGAAGTCTCATTAATAGTTACTAAATTTGCTGCAGAAATACTCATTAAAGTTGGAGGTAATTTTTTTTTATTTCTAGTTTTCAATTAATTATGAAATATCAAGACCAATATCACAAAAATGTTGAAATTGCTTCAACTATACCGACCTATTACTTTCTGTGACTATATTTTTCCCCAAAATTCATTTTCATGAAGAAAAAATAAAAATGGAGTAAGCAATAGAAAATTACGAAAAAAGCCTCTCCCCAAAGGCGGAAAAGCTTTCGGAAGTCCCCAAATGTTATCCGTCTTTGTTTATGGGCGTCATTAATATTACTTAAGACTTGCTTTGAGCCGCGATTTTGTTCACACGAATTTTAGTACAACAATTGAAATATAAAAAAACCTGCCCTCTGCCGTTTTTCCTGCTATTTCACATAATGAGCAATTTTTTTTATGCCCGTCATTAATAAATGTTGACATGTTTCTTTATGTTATCTTCTGACTTGATATAACAGGTCATTTTGTCACATAATGTCTTTTTACAACACATATGCAGTTAATATTAAATTACAATACAAAGAGGTAAACAAATAATTCAGTAAGAAAGTATTACAATCCTGAAACTTAAATCTTGAGCTTTAAATAAGGATCCTGAACTTTAAATCCTGATATTAAACCAAATAAGAAATGTAATGGGGCTTATATAAATCAATATCATTATCAATTAGAAACCCTTTAAGGGAAAAAAACAAAGAAAAAACTTACCGAAAGTAACTTTATAACGATGAACCGAAGCTTGAATGTGACATTATTCAGGATTGCAGGCTTTTTATAGTAAGGTTCATCCATTTTCCAAGCGAACCGTGTCCTAACACACCAGGAGGCTGCTTTATCCTGTATAATTGGATTGTAGAATGGAAATGAGTGAACAGTAATTCTCTTCAACCTAATATTACTATTGTTCTTGCCATCTCTTCAGGAATATTAATTAAATTCGGATGACGCAGTCACGTTTATTTAATTAATTAGTTTTTTATTGTTTTCAATTAGTAAATGGTAAATAAATAAAAAATAAAAATGTTACTATTTGATATCATTGGAAATTGATTGGTTGATATTTATAAAATTAAATATACGTAATAATAGAAATTTCCTTGGCTTCTCTTAAAAGAGAATAAAAAGTGTAAGAATACATTTTAATATATTTTATCAAGTAGATAAAAATATGAATCATGTTTTCATTTTACCAGAAAAGTATACAAAAGTTTTTATTGATATCTTCATTAAGAAAAATTATAAAAGAACAATACCTCTAAAATGGTGCGTAGTTAAAGCCAAGATTTTATTTTGAAGAATACAATCATAAAAATTCTGTGTATTCCAGATTTTAGAGCCGGATTATCTGCAATGAAATGAAAGGTTTCCTTAATTGTTCATACAACTATAATATATTGTTTCATTCATAAACCATTGACAACCTATTATAAAAATAATTGTTAAGTTAAACCGCAAACATAATGAAATCATACATTTACTGAATAAAATAGTTCGTTTATTCATATTGTAATGCTTATAAGTATTAATTTTGATACAAATATGTCATTAAAATATATTTAGAGAAATTCTATATTATATATATTTTCAAAATTTATGTTAAAACTTTTTTCATGTTTTTAATGTGGCTAACCAATTATAGAAAAATATTTTTTAATAAATAATAACCGTCGTAAAACAAATATTAAGACATCAAGTAAGAAGTACTTAAGTACTGAAAAATATATGGGATGATATTTTTTTTTAAATGTAGAAATTATATTAATCGAGTTATTGAGTTTTCACAAAATTACTTATTTATCTAGACATCGATATTAATAATTAAAAGATTTTAAGCAAAATTTATCTTTAAAGAAAGTTTTAAAAATATTATCTATCTATTTGTGTTCTTTCTTATATGAAATAAAACACAAAAGTACAGGTATAATATTTGAAAAATTATCCTTTACTATTGATATTGTAAGCGAAATAAAAGAATATTAAAAAAATTACTGATTAATTTCTTTTCTTAAATAAAAGTTGGATATTTTGATGCTTTGACGTTAAATTGTTTAATAAGGTCAAATAATACATACATATTTTTATATTTATTTTATGTACTTATTACTTGTCTCTCTCAAATATTATTCGTAAAAGTAGTAATTAACTAGTCAGAACAAATCTGTCTTTGTTCGAGATTTCTAAAACATAATAGACTTATATTAAGTAGCCGGTGTTGTGGAAAAGATTCCTTGTTGTCTTGCCACCTATAATATGTCATAACGATAAACATTCAAACATATTATTTTGAAGTTTTAAGTGGGGATTAAAAAAAATAAAACCATGAATGATTTTCTATCAGACTGTTAGTAAGGCTAGAAGTGAATGACGTAATTTTGTTGAAAATCTAATACCAAATAATTTTGACGAAACTGATATTATGTTTTATTATAGGTATAGAGCGTTTAACACCATCAACTTCAATTCATCTATAGATATAAGGTTAGTATGAAAAAACTTGTGTTTTTTTCTTTAATTTCTATTCAATTTTATTTTATATTAAGTACCTAATTTCAAGAAAATAAAATGTTATCTACGTTTAAGTAATAATATTCCAGTTTATGGTGTTACTCCGGGTTGTATTGCACTTTCCCTGTATAATGTAGAATTTGACTCATTTTACGATACAAATAAAATATTATACAATGTTAATCCTTGCAGTGGACGAACTCTCCAAAATAATTTATTTCTTGACTTTATAATCCCTTAATCATGGTCTGATACATGTTTTTTAAACTTCCTAAAAGTCTTTAAATTTCATATTAATTATATTTTAATATAGTTTCCTTTTAATAATATTTGTTATTTCAATCGAAGTCTATTTATTTGTGGAATTTGGTGAATATATTTTAAATAGCGTCATGAACATTTAATAAGTTTATCCTCGATAATATTAAACAATATGACAAAAACAGTGAATTGAATATTGAGCTATATATATTGTATTTCATTTATATTAATAGCTTTATATATATTGTATTTTAATAGTTTAACAATATTTTACCATCAGTATAATTTTTATTTGTTTTGTGAACAAAATAGTGGTTCACATTTCTGTTACCGCATTATTTGCAATGTGGTAACAGAAATAGCCCACTGTAGGTATTTATGGTCCACATTTTCTTTTATTAAAATAACATTTGTATATTTCATCGCCATTGGAAGTAGAGAATTAAACGAACCGCCTTGGTGGATTTTTCTCCACAAAAAGCTATGTTGGGAAGTTGTTTGTTTCAGTTTTGGACCTACTTACTACATATACATACATTTTAACCATATTCCCATTGTGTAAGTAATTCTTAGCAAAAATGTAATATATTTATTTATTCTATATTCTTTTCATATTTAGGCACCATTTCGTGACTATAAAACTTTCTCAGAGCCCCACGGTGATTATTTAAAGTAGATTTTTTTTTTGTATTTGTTTTAATTTGAAGAGTATTCTTGGTACAGGGTAATCGATTTATTATAAACTTGTAAAAATGGTAACTTCGTACGAATATTTATTCAACAACAGCGAGGCAACTTCTATAACAAATTATGTAATTAAATGTTGAATACAAAATACAATTTAAATAAAACCTGCTACTCATTTTTCTACTAATTCAACTATTTTATTTACTATTAAACAAGAAATATAAATCAGTGGTAATTTGACCTTTAATCATAATTTATTATCATTACGTCAACTATACATTTGAAAAGCAAAGTGTGTTATAATAAATTTCCGTTCCACTTAGCCAGCTTTACCTGTCGTGGCTTGTAGTTATTTCTTTGATTCTGGTCAAGATTCGGATAATAGTCAGTAATGTAATGTACAGTTACATTTAAGGTTTGCATTTTTCAAAGTAATATTTACATATTTTCATGTCTGGGTGTGTTTGTGAGGGGAGTAGGGAGGGATAACTCTTAACCAGGCTTAGGATAACCGGTGAAGTGCTTTACGGCGACCAAAAAATATGTATACTTAACTTTCTTCAGGATACAGGATGAAACTCGTTTCTGCAGCCTCCGAGTTTATCTCCAATTATAGTAGTAGCTTTGAGAACTGTTATAGTAGAGATTCTGAAGAGATAAATTTGTGTACCTACAACTTAACCTCCAGCAGTCTCGGACTTCTGAAATTAGTTTTCTCCAGACCCAAGGGAGAATGTTGCAGCCGAACGGCAGGCTTTTAATGCTCTGTATTAATTGTTGTAATAAAACTTAAAATAACCCTAGATGAAAAAAAAGCAAAACAGAGTCATAACAGAGCCAATTTTAAAAATTTATATTCAATTTTTTTTTACTACATTATACGAGTATTTTGAATGCAGACTAGAGCATAATCTAGTCCATTTACTTTTGTGGTCTAGACCACAAAAGAAAATGAAAAGAAGAAATATAAAAGTATACAATTATGCTCATTATTATCTCGTACAGAAGCTGTTCGTTGATAATTCTTGCTTGGGAAACAACTCGCAAAACCAATAAGTCCTACTGGTATAGCTGGGTATACCTATCAAAGGGGTGGGCCCTTTATTAATAAACTTTATATCTTCTTACGAAAAAAGAAAACGAGATTTACATATCAATCTAGTTTATGAATTCATGATAACAAAAACAGTAATATAAAAATTTTGTTCATGACTATAAAAATAAAATGTTTTATCAAACACATACACAAATTTCCAGTAAAAAAATTGTCAATATAATTCAACCACCTGTAATATTATGCTTCAACTTTTGGTAGTTCGTCTTGTATGCTAGCGAGTATCAAATTTTTGTCAGTGCCCTGTGGTTTCTTGGGCTCTAAAGCCTCCCTCATTTCAAGGGCTTGAGTGTCCGTTTCCAATGACTGCTCCTTATCGCTGAGATCTATGGCAATCTTTATTGATGCAGCTTCTAGAGCGTTGTATGTGGCCCTGTTAAACAAATAAAAACAATGATTGATAGATTTCCATTTTAGTAACGTTCATTAATCATAGTTTTAACAAAAACTTCTGAAATATTCTATCAATAGCGATATCACAATTTAGTATGCACAATGTTTCTTTGTTTCATACAATTGCTACTAATACTAAAACTTTGTATTATGTGAGTTGTTATAACCTATTTTGTAATTTGAACAGTTTTTAATTGCATTAACAACAAGACCGAAACTGTTCTCCAGTATTAAATGCATGCACAAAGCTCAATATTTCATTTTGTAATTTCTCTCAGAAATACATGTACATTACAGCCATTAAGAATCATAATGACGGGAACAAAGTGAAAATTGTGGAAAAATTGTTGTAATTAAAACTGAAAAACTCAGCAAAGCACATAAATTACAGCGGATTTAATTAATGACCGGGTTTTAGTTAATTCCTGCAAACACAAAGCAAACAATGTGCAAATGAATGCCGGTCATAGAGATATATTCTTATTTGGTTCGTGGCTTTGGAGACGTTCCAAAAAGGATGCTTCCAAGCATTCCATTACAAGCGCAAAGCTCTTACAATCAATGTTTCCAAAGTCTTGTGTTGTGTGTTTTGTTGTTCAGTATATTTGTACTTACTATTACTTCACAGACCTACATTTCGATTTAGTAACAGGAAAGTTCCCAGGTACAACTTTCTGGTGTGCCATTAAATGTTGAAAGGTGTTTTATGAAATGTTTTTAATCTATTTCTATTGTAATAAATATGAGTATATTTTTCATTAGAAAATGTAATATGACTTATAAGAATACTTAAAACATAAAAGTTCCCGTATGTCAAACCATTCAAGTCAAATATAAAAATTCAATTTGAATTTTCGTTAGATATAATCTCCTGAAATTGTTCGAAGTCCGGTTTGGTTTTTACTACAAGCTCTCGTTGATTCAAAAACGTGCTCACAATTTCTGATGTTTTTATTTTGAATAAAAAAAATACACGATATTCATTCCATTTTGTTATCATCCCACTCTTATAATGTTTTCTACGTTTACTTGAATAATTCAGATGTATGTTTTTCCTATGATTGATATTCAATGTATTTTAAATTGATTTTCATATGACAGATATTTTACAGTATATTTAAATAGTAGTTGATATGGTTACAAGTTGTAATACAAAAACTCACTTAGCGCAGTCTTGTTTCTCTTGCAGTTGACGTATTGTCTCTCTCAGATTACGTACTTCTTCTTTTAAGCCGATATCCGCTTCATCTGCAGCAAGCTCCACTCCCGGTCGGTAACCACGCGTCTCTAAACGAGTTTCGGCTACTTTTAATGCATTAACTTTGTCTGCAAACTGTTCGCCTATAGTCTTAAGTTCTGTTGCCAGTTTGTCCATATTTTCTTCCATCTAAGAGAAAAACATTAAAATAATGATTATAAAGTGCCTTCATTGTGTTGAAAGTCAAATATTATTATATTTTTTTTATTTTGCATAGAAATAAGTGGTACATCCATAAAACTCTAAGTTAAAATTAATTTTGACTTTCTACTTTATTTATTCGCTATTATTATTATCAATGAAATATATGCAAACTAAATATAAATAATAGAGACAGTGAAAGAAAAATATTGAAAATAATTTGTCAAAGGTTTTAATACATATACCGTTATTTTCCGTATCGTATCGTATAAGCTATTTTATAGCACAGTAAACATTAATTATACTTATGAGAGAAAACTATTTGAAACCAAAATTATAACATTATTTCCTTTTAACATACCTTCAGTTTCTGCCACTGTAGTTCATTTCTCGCTCTCTGTGTGTCATATATTCGTCTTCTCATCATATAGTTGGTAACATCAGTTTGAGCTCGCAGCGCGTTCCTTGCTCGACCACGTGCAACGAACAGCGACTCTCTTAACCTCAGAGTGTCTTGAAGTTCGTCAACCGCCATCTTCTTTGTTGCTTCGCATTTATCCAGCCATTGCTCGTATGTTATCATTCTGGTTGAATTATTAATAGTTTTATAACGAAACACCAAATTTTTTACTGTTGTAAATGTTCGCATAATACTTATTACAATTATACATAAATTTATTGTATAGCTTGCATGTTTTTCTAATGTCTGATTTATATTATTGTAAAGTTTCATTCATAATCCATTTTGGTTAAATGATTTATCAAAAAACATATTTATTTTAAATAAAAAAAATCACAAGTAGTCTTTTAGTTGTATAGTAAAAATAACAGAGTTATGTAAAAACTATTCAGAGTGGAATGACAGAAATCTCATAGTTTCCTAATTGCACACGTATGATAAGCCGACTTCGAAGTGCGCTTCTAAAATTGAGGAAACTTTTATAATAAATTTGGTTTAGCTCTTAATGAAAATTTTCGAAGTAGGATCAAATTCATTCATCATAGCATAAAGGGTTTTAGATGGTCTTTGTTTAGTGATTTATCTAGGCTGTAAAAGTAAGGAACAAAAGACTAAGTGTCCCTTTATATAAGGATTTATTTAGAATATCTCTGTAACTGATTAAGTTTGAGGTTTCAAAAACATATCATGCAATAGTTAATGTCGTTTTTGCTTCTTAGTCGTACTTACCTGTTGGGATTCTTAAGTGAATCGGTTTTGTAAGTTATATTCGCGCTGTTCTTTTCCAAACTCAGCATGTCTTTGTCGATCTGTAAAGCCTCATTCTTGTCATTGAGATCTAGTTGTAATTTAAATTTCACTACTTCCAACTTATTGATCTTCTCCCACGCTGATTGACATCTATCTATCAGCATTTTCTTATTACTTTCCGTTACACAGAGTTCCTGTAAATACATATTATAATAATACATACATTTTAAAATAATCTCTGGCTTATATACTAATATATATATCGGAATAATGTGAAGATGACGCTGAAAAAATATTTACTCCTTTTATGAATCTCATAACAGTTCCTTTAAAAATCAAGTTATTTTACATAGGAATTAGTAGGGGTTTTTGACAAATATAGAACGTGTTTTTCTTTAATGCAAGCAAAACCTTTTTTAATTCAGTGTCAGCGAGGTCATAAGTCAGTTCACTACTCCTTCTTCCGTCCCTATTTGATAGACATTCAGAACAAACGAGTAGAGGCATATTCAATTGCTCCAACTCCCTTTCAGTAGATGCTTTTTCTTCTTTCAGAGCACTCATTTCTCTATCCAAGCGATCCAAAAGCTCTTGAAGGGTTGATTTCCATTGCTCTATTTCATATACTCTATATAGAAAAATGCACTACAGTAAAATGGTATTAAAAAAAAGTAAGATTTTGTCCAAATTTTGTATAAAAGAGTTCTCGTTAATGTGTCAATAGCATGATTAATTTATATGAAAATTTAAAAGATTCACTTGAAATGAAAAGCCTTTGAACTCTAGTTACAGTTGTTAAATTTATATACATATGTATATTTTTTAATGGTGAATTTTAATTCTTCTCTTTAAAAATGGATTTTGCTATGTGTGACTTCCTCAAAAACAACAAATCCCATTTGAGTGGGGTTGCTTTGTTTGAAATCATTAAGAAATAAGAAGGCGCTGGTTCTTTTGAAACATTTTTCTAATAGAATTTATATACTAGTATGTATGTTTTTTGCTTCTCTGCTTGGAGATATGAAGGTATTGGTATTGTTTTTGTTTGAAAAAATACTTATTGATTTCTTCATTATTTAAACGGTTTAAAAGGCGACATAGTATATTTACCTGGCTCGCAATCGGTTATTATTATGGTAGCTATCCCATTCCGTCTTAATTCTAGTTTCATTGCGGAGTTGGTGAGCGCCGTGTCGAAGGTCGAAGGCATCGGCACGTCTAGTGTCTGCCGTCACCTGTGACCAATATAAATTTAATTTACTTAATATATCAAGGTATGGCTTTCAATTTGGAAAATATCTTAGTTTGTCACTGATAAATTTGCTTTATGGTTTAAGATATTTATTCCCGTTAGGACATTATTATCACTTACATGAGAATATCACTTATAACAAAAACTTTTATGAATATAGAGTTCGACATCGCACTTGTAACAAAAATGAAATGAAATAACGCTTAACTCAGAGACATTTGTCTATATTAAGTACTAATTTAACGTATTGTTTTAGCTCTAATTATTTATTATTTAAAATATACTCAGCAAGTTCTTTTTTAAATACGTTAAATGAGTTAACATTTTTTATGTCTGTGGGTAGCTTGTTGTACAGTTTTGCACCTTCAAAGGTGATCAATGTTGTACCGTAATTTGTACGAATCTTGGGTAGAACGAGAAAACTAGCTCGACGTGTTAGTTTTGTGTTTTTAAATTGTCTATTTGATAAATTTTACATTGAATTTATTTGAGAAGGTTTCATATATTTTTAAACAACTCAATTTTGAGCATATTATGCGTTTCCATCCCATATTCCATTATATAAATTTGAATTTCCATTTTAGAATTGTCCTTCTCACCTCAATATTATTTGAAATACATGAATGCATCGAAGACTCGGGATTGAGCTTAGTTTTGCGTTATATTCAAGAGAACAATTCTTTAGTGAAAGATATCGATTTATCGGAACATTCAAATTAAGATTAATGTGAAACGAATATTTAAAGAGAATATGGTGCATATAAATACCTTAAATCATTTTCACAAAAAAACAGAGAAAACACTTTTATTGTAAAAAATTCTTCATTTTAAAGTTCACGGAAAGGAAAATAAATTTTTACGAAGTATAATTATTCTTCAACAATCCAGAAAACGTGCTAAAGTCGTATTCACATTACTCAAACTAAAAATTGAGTCTCGAAGACTTCTCAAATCTTTTTACAGAGGGCTTGCGAGTATTACGGAAGACAGGTAAAAGTTTTCTAATTTGTTGGAATAACAGTCATAAAATTATTATAAAAGAGCGTACCGGAGACGCAAAGTTGAAATGTAAGTGTGGCGCAAATTGGACCTCAATAAGCTTGACTTTTAACGCTCTCTTTGAACTCATTGTATTATATAAAATGATAATAATATATAAAAATTCAGAAAGACAGATTTCATCGGTTGTAATTAAGATTAAAAAGGTATTTCAATCCAATTACGGTCATGATTGTGACCAAAAGATCATATAGGCATAGGTACATATATATATATATATGAACAACAGATAGATTTCCTAAGCAGAATAGGTGAGTATTTAAAAAGTACACAAAGCTATGATTTGTTTCATTAAAGCATTGATAAAAATTATAAAATATATAAAAGACAAAAACAGATTATGACATTTATTAAGGTTTTACATAGTATCTATCAGTTTTAAAAAAACCTATCAGATGTTCTTAAATAAGAAATAAAATCCTATTTCGTATTCGACACAACATTCCAGTTTTCAGTTTCATAGTGTATTTACTAAAGTCTCTCGAATCTCTTCTGTAGCACGAAACGTTACATTCCCATTTTGTAAGGTTTAAAAAGTTACATGAGTAGTACCAGTGAGTTCTATTTTATTTACAGCATCGATATCCGGGTATATTTGTTTGAAACCTTATCTCATACGAAGGATGAATGTTTTAATTACTTATTTAATATAGGGTTAAAAATTCTATAAAGTTCTATAAAAATTAAAGCCTATATTATTAACAAACTATTATATTTGAGTTTCATATCCAAAATAAAAAACAAGAAATATGTTTTGTGGAGTTAGTCTAATTTTTTGGGACATTTGGCTAACTTTACTTATATATTTTCATTTGATATTATATGTTCAGTTCTTAGTAGAATTGTAAATAAATATGTATGTGAGAAATATTGTATTAAAGCGAAATATCACCTGCAAACCGTAGAGTCTGGCATCCCAATCCGGTAGACTTAGATGGGGTAGAGGTTTTTCGAATGTAACTACAGATTGCATGCTTCTAATTTATAGGAATATATACTTCCAAAAACGTTTTAAACTCTCGTTGAAATGAGTTAATGTCACTTTGCTTATAATTCCAAATTCAAGTTGTGATTTCTTTTATGTCTTTATAATTTTATTCATGAAGGTTTCAGTAAAAGGAAATAGTTTCTTTACGACCCTTAAATAATAATTATTATAAAAATATGTTATATACATATACCTGTTAGGCGTAATATACAAAATATTAATTAAATATTAAATATCTATTGCTCATTTACAAAAACAAATTATATTATTTAAAATTGGTTTATAAACTTTTCACTATAATTTTAATGAGGGGCAGAATAAACAATGGCAAATTAAGTTTTTGAACGGTTTACCTAGTATGTCGTTATTTAAGTAGGTGATTTTTGTTTGAATTTAATTTCACTTTGCAAATTCATTTGTTCGAGTTACCTGCTTAGGAACGCACAAGATGTCAAGACCCTACTCGTAAGATAGATTTCACGACATCAGGAAAAATGAATTTTATAATTTACATGATATTTTTTTTAAACAAAAACTACAAGAATCGTAAAGAATAAATACGTGATAAAACTATTTTACATACAACTACGTACAATTTATAGTTGTACAACACTTTTTTTTTATTAAATTATTTATAAATTATTTAAATATTTATATCCAAAAGTATTTCATTTCCCAGCCTGTTATACATTTTCTGCACCTGGAAAATGACTATATTCATTTGATGAACTTATAAAGCAATACAGTGTTTTATTCGGTAAATCTATTTTGAAAATATTTATTATATCTGTTGTACTAAAATCATTTCAACAAATATTAAGTAGCATTCTTTGAATGTAATGTTTAAACAATTAGATTGAATATTTTTTTCAGAGCTAGCAAGTACTGATAATATTTCTATATATATAGAATATGTTATACAATTATCATAAATAGTTCATTCAATAGTCCGTACAATGGACTACAGTTATCGCTTTACGAGAGATATGTGAAGAGCTGATTGACAAAATGTACAAAAGACATTCCAATCGGGTATTACTGTGACAAGTCGAGCAAAAACCCGAAAAAACTGAACACTTGTTCTAAAAAACTAAATACGTAAAATTGAATAGGTTGCGCCCATGAACAAACAACTTGTTCTTAATTAAATCATTATTTTAAGGCTAGAAAATTTGTCTAGAATCTAGAACTATCAGTTTAGGATAGTTGAACGGTGAAGATATCATTATATAAAAAAAAACATCCATATAAATCTTAAATGTTCTTTTTTGGCAGTATAAACAATGGAACATCACATCTTTTGATTATTATAACGAAACACTTAAATGTCTTTTGTTTCTGTATGCCTTCATTTTTCCGTTACGAGACAAAGGGTGAAATGGAAGCCTATTACTGAGACTTCACTGTTCACCGCCTAGCCGTTTGTTCGTCTGACACGAGACTGTATTTCATTAAGCGTGATTGTTAGACAGTTAAATTTCCGTACAACTATGACAACGTTTTTGGGATAACTAGGTGATTTTCATTCCGTTTACTTTTCAGCAACAGTGATCACGGGCAGACGAAGTGATAGTGTCTTTAATTCTATGTATTTCTGTTAAGCTGTAATAAAAAATCTACATAAGTATTTTAGGGGGGCTGCCATTGAACAATCTTTTTCCTTGTTTTGATAGATAAAGTAACGAAACTTTTCAAGCACGTGTCTCACTTGCATTTGATTGGTTAATTAAATGAAATTTCATTGAAAATATTTTACACCTCTAACTAAAGTTTTTACAATTTTCATTTCATACTTTTCTATCAATGGATGTATATACATGTACGCATGATTATTTTATGTATATGTACTATATATATGTTTAGACTGGAACCCAAGGAATGTAAGGAATGTAATTAATTTGTGCTAAAAATATTTTAGGCATTCCAAACTTTTGCAGCTTGTTTATCAATATGGGAAATTTGGTCATACCGCAACCATTGTTTAAATATAAAAATGTTTGTTATTTCCAAGGCATTATGATTTTAATAGTATATAATAAATGTTTTTGAAAATACCTTTGAAGTGCAATCGAATATTTTGTTATTAATTAGTTATTAATTATTGGGTCTTTAGTACTTTTTCAGAAGTTTTCTAGACTACACCTATCTATAAATATAAATAATAAATATATTATCTGGATATTGGTACTTATTCTCCCCAATAACTATACCTTTACGTGTAATTGGTCGGTATCAATATCAAGACATTTGTATACAACTTTATGCACCAATTTACATTTTGCTTTCTAAGGAATGTCGGAATGTTTACTGCCGTGCTTCACGCTTTTTTCTGTGCTGTTGTTAAATATTTATAAAAAGTTTTGGGCTTAAGGCTAAATTATGACTCTCAATTGGAGTTTGAAACCAGATAAGGAAATTTATAGATTAAGAAGGAGATAAAATCTTTTTTTATCCATTGGGTAAGACACATTAGATATATTAATAAAAAATGATGTCACTTACAACAAAGGAAGTTTGTATTGTATTAAACTTAAAGAATTTTTATTTTAAATGCTTATTAATAACAGCATGGAACGCAATAGAGATAAAAATTAATTTATAAGATGAAAGGAACAAGATAAGATGAATCGAAAACAAAATTATGATGTGATAAAACTTTTTGTTTATAACTATAGAGATCAAAATATAACTTAACTTATTTAACAATACACATATTTAAGGTCTTTTCAATCTTCCTTCATATTTACACACGTACCTATAAACGGTGAATGACAATAGTCGCAAGTCCCAAAAATAGCCGTAGGATTTCGAAAGTATTCACGCTTATAAATGTGTATAAAAATATTATTTTTGTCAGTTTTACATAAAAAGTAACATCGGAATACGAAAAAAAGTAATGAACTCGACAAAAGACGCGAAAAACTTTTCTAATAATCTTGGGTAACTTATCTTTTAATATCAAACAATCTTGAGTAGTTTTGTCAAGTTTGGTAAATATGGAATATTGATATCAAATATTGGACAGGTAGAGAAAGAATAGTTTGGTGGTATTTTAGTGTCCAATATACAACAGTGTAAGTGTACGTATAATAGTGAGATATAACCATATAAAATATCCAAAGTGAATTTATCCATCTATATTCACGTCCGTGAAGTGTCCTCGCCTGAATGTAAACGCTTACATAAGTTTTCATACGAGATTGTGAAGACACGGGTTACATTTAATTCCGATTCTTTTTATTATACTCCATTTGAAAGTGAATATAATGATGTACTTTTTATTTTAGTAAAAACGTTAGCATTTAAAACTCTTTATTTAATTAAGAAATGTATGTTGTTGTGTTGTGTGTTGTGTTTAGTTTTTTTTAATATTTTTATTTTGCTTCACATAAATTTTAAATATATTCGTTTGTTCTATTTTAGATGAGTTATAGATTTAAAAATGCATAAAACAGAGACCTTTTTACTTTATAAAACAATCCTTTGATGATTTTACTTTCATTATTTGTATTGAACACGAATATATGGTTACAAAGTAAAAGGCTTTTAATAAATAACAAAAAACTTAGATTTTACTAATTTTTTTTTGTTTTGTAAACATAAACCTTCCATTTATGAAATCCTAGTGTACTTTAAAAAATATTTTTGTTTCTAACTTTAGGCAATTAAAAAGAATAACGCTTTCATCTCGATCTAATAACATCATTGAATAAATTTTAATTATGGATAGTTTTATTAAGATTTCCATAAAAACTAATATTATGAATATGGAAATTGTTATTTTATTTATGTGTATGCTACAATTATTCGTATTTGTTCTGTGATGTTTTTTTATATTTAAAACTTATATATAAATCGAAAAGATGACTATATTTGACATGAAATAAAGATTATTATTATTCTCATATGTCTGTTTGTTCTTATTTACAACTATTGTAATCATTAATCCAAAATGTTGAATCCGATATTGGGTATTATAAAAAAATCAAAGCAACTTGAATGAAATGAAAATATTCAGAAAGTATTTTACAAATAAAATATATCATTTCATCTTAATGAATATCATTTTCTCGGTATAACAGTAACTGAAATCTTATTGTATTTACATATGTTGACTGATCTGATTCCTTTTCATTGTTATAACTTTAAAAGAACTTTATATATAAGCAACAATATAATTCTTTAAAATGCAACTACAAAAGAAACGCGTTACCATTTCCAAGATTTTATTTATAGAAATATTATTGCAATAATATTATAAAATGTATTAAATAAAGTAATCTTTTAAAATAGACTTTAAATATCAGGAATAGGAAAATTTTAAAGGCAGCTTCGTTTAGGTTAAAGTAAAATGTACGGGTGAAAATCACTTTTCAAATAGAAAATTGTAATAGAAGTAAAAATATCTCTCGGTAATAGCTACTAGTTCGTATGAAGGTAATTTAAGAAATGGATTTTCTCAATTGACAAACTAAAACACGGATTCGTATTTTAACCGTATAAGAATTATAGTTTTGGTAAAATATGACCTAAACTACTGTTTGTCGTATAATTCTATTTGCACATTTTCTAAAATATGTATACCTCAATTTCTACTTACACTGGTACTTTAAGCCTTTTTTAATACATCAGAATAGTTAACTTTCGTCTCTTTGGTTGCTATACCATCACATAACGTTTAGAAAAAAATATGAGATGTTTTTATTTTTCTTTTATATCCAAAACTTCGTACTCTTTTAAACACAGTTTCAATTTTCGCTGTGAAATTCATCTTTGTTTGACGTCCTTTTCATAAGCTAACCTATTAATTCAAATTTTTACGCCCTCATAATTTTCATCTAATAAAAAAATATGCTACTACCAGAATGTATAACTATACATAAGATAAACTTATCTGCTTATATATATACATGTTCCAGTTTGTAACAGTTTCCAGTCCCTAATGAAAACATTTTTTGTTTTTTTATTTACTTTTATCATGAATA